CGGAAGTGGCAGTGATAATGATGTTGAAGTCATTAAAGTCTGGAATTCAAGATCTCGTGGAGGTGGAGAAGGAAATGCAGAAGAACTTGTAAACAACCCTCCATCTGTTACAAAATCGGATGAAGGTGAGTATAATATACAAGTAAATAAAATACAAAGCAGCTTAATTTTGCAAAAGGTGATTTGAGAGGGCTGTCAGGAATTCTGCTTTGTTGCAAAATGGCAAATTCCTTAATTCCATGAACTGCTTCTATGCTTGCAGCTCCCGCTACTTCTAAGAATATAGTCTGCTTGGAAAAACAAGGGACTAATCTTTGGTAATTGCTAATACTGCAAACACTATTTTTTCTTTGCCTATTTAGCTCTTTTCATACCAGTTAAGCCTAATAATGAGGAAACAATTCTGTAGTTCAGACATTTCAAAGCATTTAAATGGAGACTGTGCCTTTATCTTTTAAATTTTTTTTTCGCTTGTTTTTTATAGGCAAAGCTACATCCTCTTCCAATCCTGGTAGCCCAGCACCAGATTGGTACAAAGATTTTGTCACTGATGCAGATGCTGAAGTGTTGGAACATTCTGGGAAAATGGTGCTTCTCTTTGAAATTCTTCGAATGGCAGAGGAGCTTGGAGACAAAGTGTAAGCCAGTTCTAGAGATATTTTTAATGACCTTATAAATATATTAGTCTGACAGTGTTCTTCATTCAGTCTTCATAATGCTGTAGCTCAGTTTTCTGAAGCAAATGTGCATGCTACGTTCTTTTTTATCAGTGAGTTTTCCCATACATGCATGTACTCTACCAAAGTCTGTCTTTGTGTCTAGAAAGGCTGTTTGTTTCAAAGGTAGTATCAGAGTGAGGAGGGGAGAAAAATAAAGCAATACAATAATTAAAATAACCTCAGAGGTGAATTTTGTGTTTCCTGTTTCTGTTTTCAGCCTAGTATTTAGCCAGTCCCTAATATCTCTGGATTTGATAGAAGATTTTCTGGAGCTGGCCAACAGGGAGAAAACTGACAAAGAGAAGCCTCCTATTTATAAAGGTGAGCGTCACCGTGAACAATTGCAAAGCTAGTAGCTTTTTTACAAGTCTCTATTCAGTCCAAAGGGAAAGGATTTGAAATAATTTTTTTCATTAGAAGTATTGTATGTTCTGTACTATTCCTGAAGTTGGCAGGATTATCGGTCTCCTCTGCAGGTGGTCTCGGCTATCCCATTGTGGACTCTTGCTTCTGATTTCGTTCTGTATCATCCGTGCTTAATATAGCTAAGCAGATTAAATGTTCATCATCTGAAAGGAGAGAAGGCATTTTGTTAAATTCTGTACAAAAGTGATGTTATATGCTGATGCGTGGCAAATTCTGATCCTTCCTACCGGGAGAGAGATAATGAAAGAAAATCAGGCTACTTTAAAACTGTGTGTAGAACATGCAAGATGTGAATTTAGGCTTTATATGTACTGCAGTAGATTAGTTTATGGATTTCATAAGGGAGCAAAGTATTGAATTAATTATTACCCTAGTGATGCTCAAATGGCGAGGAATTTCTCACTAGCCAGACATGTCCTCTGTGTAGGATGTTTCTTCCGCTTACTCTGTGAGATCCTCACAGAGCTCCTGATGGTACAGTTCATCTTTATGTGAAGTTTCAGTTCCCAAAACGTGTTGATTGAAGAATTCCTTTGAATCTGCCATTCCTTTCGAATATCTTATTTCTAAGTGTATAAACATGTTGAACAGTTGCATAAGAGAAATGTGACTTAGTGGTACCAACACCATAGTTGGACGAAGATCTCCACTATCTCTCTCTCACCGACTTACTGTTTCTGGCTGTCGTTTCCTTACCTGCTGACTGTTTCTGGCTGTCTTTTCCTTCCCTCCTGAACATTTGTCATCTTCAGATATTAAGAGCCGCCTGTATTTTATGGAGTTTGTGCCTTTAGTCCAAGATAATGTTTTAAGGGGTGGGGTTTTCTTCGTTTGTGGTAGTTCTTTTGGTAAGCAATTAGACTATGTATCATAGCAAGATTCACCATATAGAGACCTTCCTGACATAACTCAATAATCTGTTTCTTGTAATTGATTGTATTGAGCAGTGCTGTCTCCTAAAAATGCTGTTTTCTTTATAATTGATGGCACAGTGGGGTTCATTTTGTGTACATGTATCTTGATGGCCATGAATGGGCCATGTTAATTGGGGAGAGAAGAAAATCTTCTATCAGCTGTAACAATTTTTTTTCCCTATCTGGCAAGAAGTAGCAATAAGTCACAGAGAAATTAAACTCAAAAAGATTTTTCTGAATTTCAGTTCCAAAATGATTAGACCTTGACTTTTGAAATCGCCTTTTGAGCATTTACTTGTGAATGCTATTTGTATGGGAGAGACTTACTTACACTAATTGTGTAACACGAAACTGCACAGATCAATTAGAGAAGTACAGTTTGTACTATAATGCCTAAAGATAAGATGTAGTTACTTTTTAAAATTAACTTTGGCTCCAAGTTAAAGCATATCTCTACAAATGTGTATATACAACCGGAAATAGTGAAAAATAAGAGGAACTACCCAAAAAAAGCTCAGGTCTTTTCAAATACTTCAGTTAAAATTTAACCTTGGAACATAATTTGATTATAAATTTGTATCTTTAAATTCTGATCTGTATAAAACTGCTTTGAGGAGTATCATCAGTTGATCTTTTTGTAAAAAAAATAACGAAATCTTAAGAAGAAATGGATAGTGGTAGATGCTGGATACTTATTGCAAGGTAAAATGATACTGACAACATTTATTTTGTTCTATTTTTGAATCATTTTAGGTAAAATTGGTTTAGGGTTTGTAGGAGCTATCGCAGCTTGTGGATGATCATTGTCATCACAAATGCAATTGCTATTATTTTCTGTCATGTTACGTATTTTATATTTTGTTATGCAAGCTTCACTACATAATTTTCAAGGCATGCCTGTGGCAAGCACCTGTATCCTCCAAAAATGTTCTCTATCTTGAATAACCTATAGTCTTCTCTCATTGTTTTAAAATGTCAGAAAATAGTGTATTTTATGTTCCATATTTGTTCTTTTACTATTTAGAGAGTTGTGTATATGCAGTATTACCAGTCTGGTTACTTACGCAACCAGCATCTTAATAATTTGACTATTACACTTATAGGTGAAGGAAAATGGTTCAGAAACATTGATTACTATCGCTTAGATGGTTCAACTACAGCTCAGTCAAGAAAGAAGTGGGCTGAAGAATTTAATGATGAAACTAATGTGAGGTGAGATCTCTTCTGATACATATGCTTGATTTTCACCCTTCTCTTTCTTTTGTTCCCTATTTCTTTGTTACTTGTATTAGTTTAATGACCTCTTAAGGCTAGGCAAATAAATACCACAATGCTGTCAGGTGCAGAACTTGCACAAAAAACGTGCAACCACAATAGGTTTCTAGTTTCCTGAGATTACTTCCATTTGTACTGATCAATACTTGTTCAGTGTTTCCTTGCTGTTTTCATTCTTGTTTAGATTGTAAGCAATTTGGATCCGAGACAGTCTTTTTATTACAATTACTTAAAAGGACATTAAGATCTAGGAAGGTCAGAGCCCCGTGGGGTCTGGCCAGGAGACAGCAGTCACTTGATCAGTCAGAAGCATATAGCTCTCCTAGCTGTCTCCAGAATTGTCTCCCAGCCATCCACCGTCCATACAAGATGGGACTTTCAAATCTGATTTGGATAGGTAGATAGATACAAACTTGTACAAGTTTAATGAAGTTAAGGAGCTTCACCTTCCTAGATTTGTTTAAAAAATAAAATATGTAGTTATGTTTCAGTCATTTATAATGTACAGAAAAAAAAGTTAAATCGAACGAAGTAAACTAATTCAGTGTTAATGCTCTTAAATAGTTTATTCTGCCAGGTATCTGTCAAGAGCTCATTTTAAGTTGAACCTGAGCGAGATGGTATTCAAAAAAAGCAGATACATCAAAGAGACAGTGTCATTTTAGAGTTATCCTGAAAGTTTGCTAGCCGGGAAACAGTTTCAATAGCATGGGATATGCCTGTTTAAAATTATGGTTTAATTTGATATAACTAATTTTATTAGAGTTTGAAAATGCAAAAACCAAAATTTTTTTCTTATTTTCTTACTCACCAGTTTTTCTTAACAGCTGGTTTGCAAAAGGCCCTGGTCTGTATTTCTGGGAGTGTATGTTTTGCTAGAAGTGTTGCCCTTGTAAAATCTCTATCTGTTTTATGCTTAATACAGTATTTTAATGACGTTTTTGAGTTATTTCAGTGTATGAACAACTCCATAGTAACACAGCAACATGGGAACAATATTTGTTTTCCAAAATATTAAAATTCTGCAACTTTTCTCTGTTCCAGAGGCCGCTTGTTTATTATATCCACTAAAGCAGGTTCCCTTGGAATTAATCTCGTGGCTGCTAATAGAGTAATCATCTTTGATGCTTCTTGGAACCCATCGTATGACATCCAGAGTATTTTCAGGGTTTACCGCTTTGGGCAGAACAAACCTGTGTTTGTGTACAGGTTTTTGGCTCAGGTAGGTTTCTGTCTTTTGTGTGGTATTCTGCTCCTGCAATCAAATCTGTAAACTGTAACTATTTGGACTTGTGTTGAAGTCTGTAGTGGTCCACCCTGATCCAGTCATCTTCCAGCCTAATCTAATAGCAGTATTTGGCCACTGAAAAAACTCTTGAAGGAAAGATTGGTAAAATAAGTATCAACTTAAATTTTTTCATGTTAAGCCCACCTCGTCTGATACTTTGTGTAACACAAATTCTGGAATTCTAGCAGTGATTCACACACCAGACTCAGAATAGCATTCTCAGCTTTTTTAATTTGCACACCACTAAAAATTCTTAATTGAATAGACTGCATAGAGGATGGTTGTAGTTAGGCAATAGGCTTGCTCAGTGTAGCTGTCTTCTACAGACCCTTGGTCTGTGGGCCCCTGACGGTCCAACTGGAATGAAAACACAGGGAGGTAAAGAATTTTTTATAAAAAGGTGTCCAGTCATGGTTTGAAAACTTGTATCACACTTGTATCACCCTATAAATATTAAAGATGTGTAATAATTCTGATGGTCACTGATCTATGCTTTTTTAAGTATAATGCCATTATTTCTGTTAGGAAGTATCTTGTTCAACTTTTAGTTCTTCAGGTGGTAGAGTAGACTGAAGACCTTTTCCCAGTAACAGTACTAAACTCTTGATCAAGTCCCTATTTATGTGCTAACTTAAATAGATTATTTTTTATAACACGTTACTGTCGGACATGGGTTTTTTCTTCAGGCTTCAGTCTATTTTTATAGTTTTCTATGTGCACTTTTGAACTGTTGAGATCCTTTTTAAATTACAGTGTTCAGAACAGGCTGTGCTGTTCTCATACTTCTCATAATAATTTTTTTTTTTAAAAAAAGTAATTTTCCTTTTTTCATCAATGATCTAATTTTTTCATACACAGCTGTGATGAATTAGACTTGACTGCTTCCCTTCCCCTCTCCTCTCCGCCCCAGTGATATGGTATCTGTTTTCCTTTTTACAGGCTGTTCAAAGCAGCAAAATAAGGTACATGCTGTGGAAATTGCCATTTTTTTGTCATAATCCTACTTTGGTGAACTGAAGCAAAAATGGATCTCTTCAAAACTGAAAAAACACATTTCTTACTCTAGTCAATAGCTAGATGACATCTGTCACGTACACAATTCATATTACTTCGTGTTTGCTTCCAGGAAGGGTTTTTTCTTTTTTTTTCTCAGCAAACAAAGTGTTTTCAGGTCATTTTGCAGATACGGGGTCAAAGAAAAGAGGAAAATAGAGCACTGTTATGTTGTTGCTCTAGCTGTTTTATATCTATCGATTTTTTTTCCTATATAACAAGCAGGTCCAGTATTTGTATGAAAGTGAGTGTCTTCGTCTTTTAGGGAACGATGGAAGACAAGATCTATGATCGTCAGGTAACAAAGCAGTCATTGTCTTTCCGGGTTGTCGACCAACAGCAAGTTGAACGTCATTTTACTATGAATGAACTTACAGAGCTGTACACTTTCGAGCCGGATTTGCTGGATGATCCTAATTCAGAAAAGAAAAAGAAGAGAGATACACCAATGTTGCCAAAAGTAAGTTGATGCACATCAATAGGAATTATATGCTGTAAAAGTAACTTACATCTGATTAAGGACATGGTGTATTTGATCTTGGAAGGAGAAGAGTGCTGCGTTTTTACTTTAGAGCAGTATTTTTCACTTTAAATGGAGCTGAATAGCAGGTAAGACAATAAAATATGTGATTAATATAATGGATGGTATAATGAGCTAAATAATGAATTTCCCTTCAATGTAATTGACAGTATAAGAAAAAGATCTTCAGTTAAAAGACAGAAATTTTAAATCAGAACAAACAAATACTTTTTCACACAATTTGAGTGAATAGAAGTTTTACTGCAGGAAGCTGTGGAAGCCAAGATTCAAATTAATACGGGTGCTTTTGATACCTAGCATTACCTCAATTTGTGATAACAAATCTGTGAGGTGATACTGTCCTTCAGGGTCTGGTTTTTATATACCTAGGTAAGACTTTGTAAGAGTCAAATTAATCCATGCTCTCCTTTGCCACGCCTTTTTCATAGAATCATAGAATCATTAAGGTTGGAAAAGACCGTTAAGATCATCAAGTCCAACCATTAACCCAACACCACCGTGCCCACTAAACCATGTCCCTAAGTGCCCCATCTGCACGTCTTTTAAATACTTCCAGGGATGGTGACTCCGCCACTTCCCTGGACAGCCTGTTCCAAGGCCTGACCACTCTTTCAGTAAAGAAGTTTTTCCTAATGTCCAGTCTAAACCTCCCTTGGCACAACTTGAGGCCATTTCCTCTTGTCCTATCGCTTGTTACTTGGCAGAAGAGACCAACCCCCACCTCACTACAACCTCCTTTCAGATAGTGGTAGAGCGCGATGAGGTCTCCCCTCAGCCTCCTCCAGGCTAAACAACCCTAGTTCCCTCAGCCGCTCGTTGTCTTCCTCAGTGTCCTTCTTGTAGTGAGGGGCCCAAAACTGAACACAGGATTCGAGGTGTGGCCTCACCAGTGCCGAGTACAGGGGCACGATCACCTCCCTGCTCCTGCTGGCCACACTATTTCTGATACAGGCCAGGATGTCGTTGGCCTTCTTGGCCACCTGGGCACACTGCCGGCTCCTGTTCAGCCGGCTGTTGACCAACACCCCCAGGTCCTTTTCCTCTGGGCAGCTTTCCAGCTTGGTTTTTAGTTCCTTGTTTAACTCTTCTTGTAGGGACAATTAATAGAGATAGGTAGAGACGGGGAAGAAGATGCCCTTATTTACTGTTTGTGAGGAAATTTGGACAACCTAAGATTTTGTAATCTGTTCGTAGTGATGCCAGTACTAGCAGAGACCAGTGACATTTTTGTAGACAATCATTTAGACCATTTACACAACTTAGTGAGAATGCTGATATTCTATACTCGAGATAATACAAAGTAGCGATGTCAGACCTTTTGCCAACTTGGTGTTAAATGAACTTTAGAAGATCACAATGGTTGGTTTTCACTGAGGCCTGTCTAAATCTATTTGTAGTGAATGTGGCGTGTGTAGTAGTGGTTCATTGTCACTGCTCTACGTGGTAGTGGTTCACTATCCTATGTGATACTTAAGGAACTGAAAAATTTACTGACTGTTAAAAATAAAAACTATAACTTCTACCGTCAGCCAGGAGTAAACTTCAGGGGAAAGAATAACTGGCGCAGTTATTTTTTCTTTTTTTCCAAGTCAGTTTGTATTTAAGGTTAGGCTAAGGTTTTGTAGTTTGTCTAATTTATATTCTTTGTGTATGTGGTCTGCTAAAGACTAATTCATCATTAAGCTGTTGTGCAATTTTTTTTGCTTCTTACCAGTTGAATAGCTAGTAAACAGTAACACGTACATGTATAATCCGCGATTAGTTAACTGGTTAAATTTCTGAGTTACCACTGTGTTTAGGTCATCATACAGTGTCTGGGTGTGGGGAGGGAGGTTTTCCAGTTTGTAAATCTATTAATTTCCAAGGAAAAATGGTATGTTTTCCATTCAAGACTATCTGTAGACCACTATAATATAATAAATTGTGGTCAGGCATCACATTGGCATTCTTAATAGTTAAGCCATTATCTGAAACAGTCTGTTAGACCACCTACAGTGTCGGTGCAGCTGCTGGGGGGATTTAGGAAGTGTTAGCCCTGTAAGTGTTAGTTGCTGTTGCACATGCATTTTAAAACCCTTGAAAACAAACTTTAATGACTGTATCTAAGCTCTTCTTATTACAATGTTTCTCACTGTGAGCAGTAAACTGTAGATAACTGAAAATTTTATTCTACCTTTTTACTATGTTGTACGTTGTTATTTTGGCAGATTCATTTTTTTACCTCCTAAAAAATCTTCCCTTAGGTTGTAATTAGTAGTATTTATTTTATCTTTTTTACGTTCTTAGTTATTCTATGCCATATACATTTATGCTTCCACAAACTCATAGCTAATGCATCACCATTTGTGGCTGCAGCTGCTACTTATTTTTAAGAAAATAAAAATACGTCGAAAGCCTATGAAGCAACTGAGTATGCTTACTCAAAGCATTGATCAATCCAATGCAATAATTGTATTTTGAAAGTTACTTGTTTTCTTTTACAATAAGAAATCAACTAATGAAGTATAATGTAAAAGAGAAAGTTTATAAACTCCAAACTTACTTTATCATTCAGTTTTAAATATTAAGTTCCATATTAAGTTCCAATTAAATATTAATACCCTTCCAACCATCAGTGTAAGGTTCGTGTAAGTTAAGTTGAATACAAGCTTTTAACCAAGTCCCTGGCTGTAAATAGAGCAAATCTGTGTACTGGAATTCTTTTTGTTTTTTTCATGGTTTTAGCAAACAGTATTGAATGGAATTTCATCCTTTTGAAGATGTGCATCTTAGTACATACTGTGTGCAAATTTGTAATGCCTTTTTTTAATTTGTTGGTTGAAAAGGCTATAAATCAGGTAGATTCATCTTATTTTAGCAGTTTCTGTATTTATTTGTTGAAAGCAGGGCTTTGCATTCCTGATAGCCTCACAGAATATGGGAAGCTAGCCATTAACCCCCAAATATTTTCCCTTTCTTTGTCCCCCCTGAATTAGTCTTGGTAGTGAGGAGGAATCATGCTGGATGCTGAGTTCCCTCAGCTCCTGCAGGAGTTGGGAGCCGAGAGCTGCAGGTGTGAAGTGTCGTAGGAAGTATGTAACTCCCGATGCACGTTTTTAGCCGGCTGGCAGAGTAGCCTGTGGCATGCGTGGTAGCTGGTATTTGCCTGTGTGGTCGGTATAGTTGTGGTGAAAACTTCTCCAAAATGTTAGAGGGGGAGAAAGTGTTCCCAGAAGTGTTAATAATAATCAGTAGCTGTCATCATGTAAAGCATTACTTGCGATTTGGGCTTTGGGCAGGGAGTCTGAGGGTAGGACTGAAGTCTGTCCTGTAAGGCCATCAAATATGCCTGAGTGCCGAGTTATCATGAATGAATCCCGGGTAGTTCAGCTAAGGAAAAACACCAAGGGAATACTTAGATTTAGGGTGACTCCTCTGCTGATTTGGCATTGACCTGCCTTGCCTGGATGATTAGCACCAAGGTAGTAAACTGTCACAAAGGAATTTATATTGGAGAACTTGTTTCCTTTGGTACTTATGTTTACTATTTTGATGATCCCACCTTTTTTTAATTATTCTTAGCTGCATTTATCTTCCCGATGAAGCTCCGCTGATTGGGATATTTTATTTTCATTTTATCCACAATTGGGTTCTTGCTTTGCACACAAAACTGAGCTAGTCCAGTAGTTGCAGTGACTCCTTCCTTGATTCCTGTGATCTGTGTAACTGAATTGTGGCTCATGCCTTATTTATAATATCGTAAGTTTAACTTTTATGTTTTATTTCCTATTCTGTCGTCTTTTGGTCTGTCCAGTTCTCTAAAATCCTACATAAACAATCAAAAGCAAGTATCAGCTCTAGGAAATGCTGCAGTGGATGTTATTATGTAAATTGTGCAAGATTATTCATTCAGAAAGTCAACTATTACTTATTCCGGTGTAATTTTAGCAGAAATACATGATTTAGCCTTATAATTATGAAACTTCTTAAAAATTCAATGACTTTAACAACACACTCATAGCGTTTTTTTTTTAAAGTTGATTAAGACGACTATTGATATGCTTATGAAAACATTCTGTTGTCACATCGATTAATTACACAGCATTTGGAGATTAAAATTCTCTTTAAGATCGTGTTGCGTGATACTCCGATGCTTTGTTCATGGTAAGTTCAGCACACCCAACCTGATCTCTGCAGTTCTTGGCTGGAAACAAAGGCCGCTAAAACTTCACCTGTACTACTCTTCTGTCATTGAGCTGTCTACCCCTTGCTTACAAAGACTGAGCTGTTCCTTTATAATTACCAGAAAAGCAAAATAGGCATTTAGGCTAAAAGAAGGCTTTAGTTCTGCCTTTTACAGGTTTTGTGTATAATTGTCTCTCTTTGTCTTCAGGCCTCTTTTACATCTTCAAAGCATAGTCTGTTGAACACTGTTATCACTGTGTAATTTTACTGTTGTGCAGACAGAAAGGTAAGGGATTACCTTTGTAATCCTTAGCATTGCTGTGAAATGCACAGTAAAAACACGTAAATATACTGAAAGTGTCAAGTGGAGATACAGCTAGGCTCTGAAAGAAGAGACTCCTCAGAACATGGGTAGAAAGATGTTTGAAAATATGCATTTTAGAATTGACCCCTTCCAAGCATGCTTTTTAGAGGGAATTATGAATATGAATTAGGTGAAATGTTTTCCATCTTTTCTCCAACCATCTAAGCATGAATGTGGAAAAACCTGGAGGGATAATAGCTTTTCTGCTGGATGTCTGCTAAGTCAGAGAACTTCTTGACTTCAGCGACACCCCACAGTAGGAAGGTTCTTTAGGTATGCAGCCAGGAGTCGTGTATGTTGAGGAGGAGTGATTCGGAGGTGAGCGTTAGGGTTCTTCTTGTAACTCCTAGTTTTAACACACTTTTCAACTTCTTTGATGTAAGAAAAAAAATGTTTTTTAATTCTTTTGTTTTTAATGGGTTAGCAGAATTCATTCGATATTGTTTTAAAAGTCAGAAGTAAAGCCGCTATGTGAGTGAAGAAACAAATACTACTTGATTTTTAAAATACGTCCTTGAGAATTTTGTTTTTGCAATAATTCAAGTTTCAGTCAAAGACCAGTTTTCTTAGAAAGTGGTGTTACGGCGGGGGAAGACGCTGAATGTTGCTATTTTATATAAAAAGTCACACGGCAAATGCGCAGTATGTAGTTTTCCTGGAAGCTTATCAAAGTTTCGTATCAGGTTTTAATTTTAGCCGCAGTTTTCTGCCCTTTGCGGTCTGAACAAGACCTTCAGGTTGCCGAGGAGTGCTGAGGAGCCAGTGCGTACAGTTCTCGGGGGAAAATGCCTGTTGCACGACAACTGTAACTTCATAGTGCCATTTCTCTGCCCTTACCCCTCTGAAACAGCTTCTGTGTCTTGAACAATGTAAATACTTGGTTTTAACAGAATATTTTTATTATGAATGTTGTTCACATGAATTATTAAATTAGTCTTAACTTCCACTGCTTGATTTCATTCATCTGCTATCCCTGTGGACTTGAAAAGGACTACTTCAGAAATTCAGTCCAAAAAAGGTGTAACAGGTGTATTAAGACTGAGTAATCATGCAGTCAAATTTGCTGTATTTAAGTACAGAAATAATTACTGTATGTAGGCCATGAGCTTTATGCAAACGTAGTGATTCATTATCTAACGCAAACTAAAGGCATAAGCAGGTTTTGTTATTATTTCTGTAGAGTAGCAATTCAAAAGGAAAAGATGGTGTAAAATGAGAAAATTCTGTTTAATGTATTATGGTTGTATTTCGGGTGTTATGTTTTACTTGGCTCTGAATTTAACAGTTGATCTGGAGTCTTTTTTTAAATCAATGTGATTTATGACTGAGCTATTGTTTTGGTTTTTTTTTAAAGTAGGTTCTCACAGACTCTCAACACTCAGCTCCGGAAGGATTGTATACTGGGGTAGACTTGGCTGATACGTAGCTAATGGGAAAAAGGTTTTTTCACCACAAATACTGATAGCCGGACTCAGTGATAAGTGGAGTACTCGTGACTTACCTTGGCCAGTGCGATATGTATTTCAGAGCAGTATATATGAGGTGGCAGCTGGACAAAGACAAAATGGGGGCACACTGTGTGTCCCTTGGAGCTGGCACTATTGCACCCTCTGTTCCTTGCTTATTCTTCCCCAGATCAGCGTGTTCAGTGGATTAGAGTCGCAGTCACGTTTTTATGTGAAATGAAGACTTGGCTCAGTTGAGGTCATGTAATGCAGATTGGAAGAACAGATTAAAATAATAGTGCAGATTCAGTTGCATATAGTATATCATTATTTTATACTACCTTAGGACATAGCCAGGGCATGTGTTTTACTGTAGTTCCGTACTAGGGGACAATTTTGTGAATTTTGGAAGGCTGTTGATCTCAGAATCAGAAGAATTTGCTGCTTATTTAAATCTATTTTTATTTTTAATTTTGGAATTAAATGTTCAATTGGTTGAGAAAAACTTGTTTATGAATTACGACATAACTTGCATTCCTTCATGGAAGATTTCCTTTCTAATACATTTATCTCTCCATAGCATTTAATTTCCGTCAGGATTTCAAAAAGACAAACCTTTTTTTAAAATTCAAAACCTTTTTTCAGTATCTCTTCATTTTTTCATTCTTCACCAGGATTTCATCTTAACGCTTATAAACCAATTGATAATCATTGTTCTATCAACAAGCTAAATAAATTAAAAGGAATACTTATTCTGATGATTTTTTGTGTGTAAGGTGAATTTATTATTTTTTCATTGTAAAATTAAACAAACTAAATGGCAGTACCTTCCATATCCCAGTTTCAAGCTCCATCATTAAAGTTAATGCAAAATAAAGTTTAGACAAAGAAAAGCAAACACACAGTTGGATGTAATTTAAACCACATTTTGAAGACTGTGTTGGCTAAGTGAGTGTGGATTATATTCCAGTATTGTTTTCAGTAATAGTGTTACCATGGAAATTAATGCATATGCATGTCCAGGAACCGTCGACACACTGATGTACAGCTAAGGTATGCTGAGAGGGCTTTAATTATGTTAGCTTGCTTTTGTAATATCTTCTTGACTTCTTCACCCACTTCCTCTAGATGTTTTCATCATATCCTATTATTGCATCCTTTTTCTCTCTCTGCCATCTCTCCCACTACCCCAAAAATACCACTATTTGTTTCTTGTGCCTGTTAGTCCTGCAGATATTACATTGAATTTTTTGTTGAGGAGCTGGCGGTGAAAGCATTGATTCAAATTTAGGGAGACTAGATAGTAGAAGGATGAAACAAAGACTAGCTTATATAACTGGTTAACATAATTGAGTTTTAAACACACACAGAAACAAACAACTTTCTGTAGCTGTTGTGACAAAACCGCTGGTCAGGACTTCCACATGCAGTTCCCAGAGTTGTTGCAAAAATCTGTTTGCTTGTGGGTACAAGCCCTTCTTTCCAATCATTGTTCTATCTAGATTATAAAATGTCGGACAGTTTATAGCCCTGTTTGTACAAATGCCTAGCAGAATCAGGGCATGCTGTGGAGTGGGTCTGTAGGTATTCATATAATTATACTGCAAAAAGTATATTGAGTGAGTTCACTGTAATTCATTTCAGGAGTCGTCCAAAAGTTCAACGAGATAATGTTTTTGTATTATGAATCTTAGACTGAATGCTGAGGTATGTTGGAGCTTACTTAATTCAGCAAGCCTATCAGTGATACAAATGCATTTAAAAAAAACCATGTTCAATAATTACCTCCAAAAAGGGGACTCCTGCGGTGCAGCATGAGCCGTTTTTAATAGTCTTATAGAGCGCGTTTTTCTTCATCCTTTGCCGCATTACCTTTATTTTAACACAAAGAGGCGTCATCTTTAAAAAACTGTGGAGACTGGAATGTTGACTCAGTGAGAATGAGGACTGCAAAACCATTACTACCTACCTTGAAATACCAGCTTTTCACATTCATTTTTTCTATCTGTTTTTATATCACTTTTTAATTGAGATTATGATCTATCATAATGTGGCATCTGTAGTCCAGACAAGGGCAGTAGCAACTTAATATTTTGGCTAGCAGCTAGTTTGGTTTTGCTTTATCTAGGAAATATTCAACACGCTGGTAACTCTGCATTTCCAAAAAAATAATAGGATTTATGTATAATTTTTTGTATTAGAAATCTTAGACTGAATGCTGAGCTATATTGGAGCTTTCTTTTATATATATGTGTGTGTGTGTGTATATATATATATAATATATAAAAAAAACCCAGATATTTGTATATAAAATGTTAGTATGCCTGTGAACAAAACCTTCACAATAGTTTGCCATTATAGAGGACATTGTAATATATTTTGGTTAACCTTAAAAGCAATTAAGCATTAGGGGTATTGTGGAATACAGGGGTCCAAATTGCAACCTGCTGATCAAACCTGGTTCGTAGCAGTGATTTGACCTTTCTTAGTCCAGATGGGCGGGGGACTATTTTATCTCAACATGTGTCTTAACAGTTTTAAGAAAGCATCCTTTTCTGTTGAATGCTGATGGACACTTGATGGACCAAAGTACTACTTAGTGTTTTAAATCCAGGAGAGGTGCTCTTTACATATTATAAATGCAGATTATTGATAGGTCCTCTCAGGTATCCAGCCTGAGCAAAGGAAAAATCACTGAGCACATTCCATTTTTCTTAGGTTCTTAAACTGCATTTATTGTTGTGGAATCTGAGTGCATTCCTGTGGTTCATTAAGTGATGGGACTGTCATCTCTGTAACAGATTGTTAATCCGTTACCCTCCCTCTGAGGAAAATTGTACTTTTAAATTATTTCTTAATTTTGTTTCACTGTGAAGTGCTCTGAGCTGCTATTTGTGAAATTGGGTCAAAGCAGTACATTAGGCATGCGCAAAGAGTAAATATAAGAGAGCTACTGAGTGACCTCTCATTTTATCGTCTCTTCATTTGAACAGGACACAATTCTGGCAGAATTGCTTCAAATCAATAAAGAGTATATAGTTGGGTATCATGAACATGATTCACTCCTGGACCATAAGGAGGAAGAGGAACTCACTGAAGAAGAAAGGAAGGCAGCATGGGCAGAATATGAAGCAGAAAAGAAGGTAAAGCTATCTAGTCAGTTTACATATATGAAAATAACCTTTCCAGATTTAAGTACCACTTACCTTTTCAGTTTGTTTGGGGGAAAATTAATTTTCTTATAGGCCAAGAAATGGATATGTAAAGCAAATTTTGACAGATGAAAAATGGAGATACCGTGTCTTGTTTACTCTTTCGATGCTTTTCTTTTGTGTGTATTTTCTTTGTTACTTTCATTTAAAAGTTACTTTTTCCTTTTATTTTCCTTTTACACACACATTTTTTTCTATTTCATAATAAAACTCAACTGGTGTCCTGTGTAATACCTCTCTTTTACCATTTGAGGGAAATTTCTAGCTCCATTAAAGGTGTACAATTGATTTCAGAATTTTTTGCTACGATCCCACAAACATGTAGGCATCTGCCAGAAAGGACCTAAACAACCTTGGGGGTTTTTTTCTGTTATTCCCTGTGTCTTGTTTATTTGATATTTAAGCAGGTGGTAGAATGAAGAAAATTGTAAATTGGCTACAGGTTTGGGATTTTTTTACTGTAAAAGGAATATGATAACTTAGTGTAATTGGAGTCTAATAGGAAAAAATTCCTGGAAAGGCAAAGTTTGGTACTCAAATCTGATCAGTAATCTGAAAGTACAAGAAGTGGATGTACAGATTGCCACTGACCATCCTGAGTGAACAAATGACAAATGAAATGGAGTATTTGGCGAAGTTTTTGTGAGGGAGAAGAAATAGGAAGATACAATATAGTAAGCACTGAAATTGCCCTATGAGAAATCCATATGGGAGATGAACTTTATATTCCTGCCAATAAATTATGCATTTCACGTCTTCAAAATTTGATTACAGTCAGGTCAAACTCAACATTAAGTAGTGGGCTTGCAATGTAAAAAATGCATCTTAAACAACTTAAGATATTCTAATAAGCCTTGGTAATTTTTTTTCTTAGTATAGCAAATAATTATAATTAAGCTAAACTCCTGTATTACTCAAGACTAGAACTTAGGTTCCTCGGTGATTAAAATGTCCTTCTGAATTGAGGTTTGGAAAGGATCTTCAGTTTATTGAGACAGGTTAGCCTTCACGCGCAGTGTACAGTGCTTGTAGTCTTCTCTAAGGGCTGATTTGTCTGCCTGTGGTATTTCGTGGGTTATTATAGAAGACCATGAATTATCAGAGTTATTCAAATATAAGTGCATTTTGTGTTTTTAAGGGCTTGACTATGCGTTTCAACATGCCAACTGGGACCAATATGCTTCCCACAAATTTCAACTCTCAAACACCATATATTCCTTTCAATTTGGGTGCTCTGTCAGCAATGAGTAATCAACAGCTGGAGGTAAGTAGCAATCCAAGTAGTGTAACATGTCTGTGGTGCTGTAAGCATGTATGGTTTTTTTTCTGTCACAAATAATGGATAATGTCATTCTTAAATATCTTGATATTTATGTAATTGTATTCTATTTTTAATAGGGTTTTTTTGTGTGTGTGTGTGTGTGTGTAGCTATATTGAAGTCTAACTTGTATGCATATAAACCTCTACCTGTGTAGTATCTCAGGATTCTGGAAGATTAACTGCATTCTTTGCAGACATTAATTACCACATCTAGCTTTCTGACTCCATCTGTCTTCTGTCCGAGAAGGAATGGGAGAGAGGAACGCATGCTCTGTTCCTTGGTTATCTCAGGTCTTGGTTTGCCATCTTAGCTGAAGTAGCTGAGGGCATTTCTTCCGAATAAGATGCCAGGCTATAAACTGCAGGAGTTGAAGCACAGTTGTCGTATGATACCTACTAGTGTCGGGTGAGGCGTCTGTGCTAAAGAATTGAAAATCTGCAACAAAGTGTGCAAATCAGGGGGACCTGTGTTGAATATACCTGAGGAATAATACACAATATATGCCAGTATTATGCTAAAATAGATAATTTAGCGTAATAGATAATATTTTGAGAACACAGAATGAGTTGAAACTGTAATATCATTGAAGTCAGTATCATAGAAAATTTGCCTGGGTAGAAATGTAGCACTCCTGTGATGATCTAAAAACCTTTGGGTACAAAAATAGTTTTTTATAAATACTGTCCACCGTACAAATTGGCAGATTTATACATGCTGGTTCAGTTTATGCTGAAATTCAGTTGTGTGGAAGCCTAGACATTGACTTGTGCAAATTGAGAGAAAAAAGTAATTAAAGTCTAGGTACACAAGGCAAAGATGAAGAAAACTTATAAAAGGTTGGCAAATAAATGCATTCTTTGTATCTGTGCTTTATAATTATTCTTCTGGTTTTTTCTCAGGACCTTATTAATCAAGGAAGAGAGAAAGTTGTGGAAGCAACCAACAGTGTAACTGCAGCAAGAATTCAGCCCCTTGAAGACATCATTTCAACCATAGTGAGTGCAATGGATAACTGTAGGTTTAGATCAGGAGATGGGAAAATGTTAAGTGTTATCAGGCAAAGAAATTACTATTGTATATGGTCATTCAGCTAATTAATTGCATTATTAATGAATATGATTTCCAGTTTGTATTGACCTTTATCCCTGCAGCTAGCAGTAACCCTTAATGGTATCCACATGACATAGAGCCTTAGAGGACTAGCAGTTTAGATCCATAATTATTTGCCATGTTCTGAAAACGCTGATTTTCTACAAATAAGAATAATAATTATACACAAATAAGATGTATTTCCTATATCTTGTCCTCTATCTATCTTGGGCTGCTATATTTCTCATTTGCTCCCAATAACCTAGAGGTGTATTACCTTAATTAGTGGTTAGAAGAACTAGTAACTCATAGTTCCGATTCTGGTGAAGTATAATTTTGCATTTACTGGAAATTGGGCTGTGTTTTAACTCTTGATGCAACTCTGAACGTAACGCAAGACCTCAGTTACCATTACGCTTTTGTTAAAATGACTAGTGCCAAGAAGGTTTTGGGTTTTTTTCTTTTCAGTGGAAAGAAAATGTAACACTCACAGAGAGCCAAGTACAGGCCCTGGCACTGAGCAGACAGGCAAGCCAGGAGCTTGATGTCAAGCGCCGAGAAGCCATCTATAATGATGTCCTTACTAAACAACAGATGGTAAAATATCTAATATTTATTTGATCAACTGTCCGTGTTTGAACTGGGATGTTCAGTATGGTCTTTGCATGTGTGTGTTCATAAAATAGAAGTATATGTTTAAGTACATAAATATGTACTTAGAGAATGTGTGTTTCAATGGGTCAAGTATTTGCTGGCGTTGTGTAACCGTGTATATGACGTAACATCGGGAGACGGTGACTTCTGCGGTGTGTTGGATTGCATTGCTCAGCCTCATCGAAGGAGACTCCATGAGAAGTTCATTTAAAAAAAATACTCGCCAGAGTATTTTTCTGTTGAAGTAGTTTGCTTGAAGGTCATGAGGCTTAAAGAGAAATCTGATTCCCAGAGCTCAGAAAGCAACTTGGGAAACAGACATCTTAGAAAGTATTGTAATGTTGTTCTAGCTTAGAATTATTTTGCAAAATCTGAAAGTTGCCCAGATTATGTCAATGGGAAGAGTTTTCTCTCAGGCAAGCAAACATTTAGTGACAGTCCACATGCAGGACTTTCAAAGGGAAGATAAATGGTACCTGACAAATAATGGTGTAACTTATACCTGGGAATAATTTCACAGTATAGTGCATGTTCCCGTAGCAACTTATCTAAATGCTGCATGCAATACAATAGGCAAGTCATTAAGAGAACTTAGCCCTAAATGGTGTTACTAAGTGGTTTCTACAGTAATCAGCTTGTGAATACCATCACATTAGTGATGGTGATAACAATGGTGCTTTTTTCCTTCAGCCATGCTATCCCTAACAAATTGATTTTAACTCTGAACTTGATACTTGCAGCGTTGAGACAGGTCATGCAGTTGTAACAGCTCTACTTTCCCTTCACAGTTGATCAGTTGTGTTCAGAGGATACTTATGAACAGAAGACTACAGCAGCAGTACAATCAGCAGCAACAGCAGCAGATGTCTTACCAGCAAGCAGCAATGAGTCATCTCATGATGCCAAAGCCTCCAAATTTAATCATGAATCCTTCCAACTACCAACAGATAGATATGAGAGGAATGTATCAGTCAGTGTCTGGTGGTATGCAGCCACCGCCATTACAACGAGCACCACCCCCAATGAGAGGCAAAAATCCAGGGCCTTCCCCAGGGAAATCAATGTGATTTTGCACTAAAAGCCTAAAGGATTGTTAAAATCAGAGAAAGAACTTTTATTTTTTTAGGAATCAATGGCTTAACAGAACTCAACTGTAAAAAAAAAAAAAAAAAAAAAAAAAAAAGTTTGTCCGGTCCCCTTAAATGCCATGTTCCATATTAGTGTTTCAGCTTTGTTTAAATAGGACATAATGTTTTCCCTGTTGTCAGTGATGTTGCCTAGAATCTTCTTACATATGTTGAGTACAGGAGATAACAAGTTGTTTTCAGTGAAAACAAGTCCTCCCGTAACAGTAGCATCTCCACAGGTTTCCTGTCTAAACTCCTACGCTTGCTTTTAGTAGCTGCGAAGCTGTCATCAAATTTGAGAAGCTTAGGAAGGACTGCAGGTCTGTATGTTTCAGTATACCATATGTGAATTGTAAACAGCTGAGTTCTTGATTAGAGTTGATTCCTCAAATTATGGAATACTTTTCTGCTTACCCATTTCTTTGTATTAGTGGGAATATTGTAACAGAAATAGTGTAGTTTCCTTTTGACTGAGGTCTGGGCTCATACTATATCATCTATGCTGAATGAAATAGGAACTGAAAATACTCTTTGAAACAGAATTGAGTACAATGTTCTTAAATACTACTGCTCTGAAACTTTTGAGTCATACAGTTACATAGAAACTGTGTATACAGCCTTAAATAGTGACTTGGGGAAGGTGATTGTTCTTCCCTAGTCTTCTGCCATTTTTTATTTTCAGTTTTATGTGATGGAATAACAAATGGCGATCTTGGAGTTGGAGATGTTTTTCCTTCACACGCTGATTTACTCTATGTGGAGTCCAATACAAAGCACATTTCTGTTAACTCCTTAATGCTGGTGCTACTGTCTTTTCCCATTGCCGGCAGTGGGAGACGGGCCATGAAAATTAAATTCCTGGTATTTTGGGGGTTAAAATAGTGACGGTGGCCAGGGTCAAACCCTGTTATATATACAACTTTAGAATGGCAGAACCATTGCTGATTTAAAATCAATATAAAGAAAGTGCTGTAGCAACTTCCAGAGCTGCCAGAACAGTGAAGTAACTTTTCCTCTATTAGATAAGAGTTTTGGTTATGCACTCCTCCCCATTCCCTTTCGTTTGTGTGAAAACATGATTTAGTAAACAAAGAGCTTGATTTTTGGTTGGTTTTTTTATGTAGACCAGAGCTAAATTTCTGGTTTATTATATATCATTAGCACTCTCTTTACCCACACTTTTTGTGCTTGTGAAGATATAATTAAATACAAATAGGGCTTTTCTTTGAATATAGTTTGGTTGATTCTTCCCCCCCAAAAAAAAAGTTTATAATCTGGGGGTAAAAGTAAGCGACAGGAACATTTGAGGCAATGGTGTATCGACTACAGAGAACTCTGGAGAAACAAGCGGATGGAGGTGTTTGCTCCAGATACTGCTGGACTCTTCTGACTTGCTGACATGAACTAAAATTGTTTTGGTTTCTGGAAAGTTTCTTGCAGGAGTTTGAGTTCTTGCCCTGAATGGACAAGTGGTTTTTGCATCTAAATATGCAAATCTTATGTGACATTTCATTTTGTGATTGAAACTTGGTTTGTGATCTGAACAGAGTTTGTTTATCTGTTGCAAAACCAGCTAACAAGTTGCTGTCTTGGACTCTTTTATTACAAGATACCACAAAAGAACCTCAGTATGTTCCAGTGCTTTGCCAGCTCTACAATTAAATTTAATCTGGGGGGAGGGGAGCAAAAAGAGACGTATTCACACTAGAAGAAACAAAACGTGAGACTTTGAGACAAACATTTGAAGGCAAATGTACTCTGGGCAACTCTCGCCGATATTCCTACGTGTTGTGAATAAGAGAAATACTTTCTACCAAACCTGGGAATGTTCAGTGGAGTTTTACAGTAACTCAAAGACTTAAATGTGGAAGTTTTAGGCAACATTTAAAGGCACATTTTTTTTCATTCTGGACAAAACTATGGATAACAGAAGACTAATGCATAAGAAGAAATCCAAGATAAGCATTGAAATAAAACTTGGACCACTTTGCATACATGTTTCTCACTTGACATTTTAGCTGCATAACAATGTGCTTTGAGTATAACATCAAGCTTTAACAAATATTTAAAGACAGAACATACATCAATAAGATAATAAAAGGCTCATTTTTATATTTGTTTTAGATGTTTTAACTAGATGAAATGGCTTAAGATGACGAATAAAAATGTTGCTTGTAATACAGTTTTGCCTGCTAAATTCTCCACATTTTGTAACCTGTTTATTCCTTTGGATGTAAAGCGTTTTTGCTTAGTATTGTGATATTGTATATGTTTTGTCCCAGTTGTATAGTAATGTTTCAGTCCATCAACCAGCTTTGGCTGCTGAAATCATACAGCTGTGAAGACTTGCCTTTGTTTCTATTAGATGGCTTTTCAGTTCTGTATTAAATATCTTAAGTACTATAGAAAAGGTGTCACCTCTTCCTATAAGGCTGTTTTGTAATATATATAAGGACTGGAAATGTGTTTTTAAAGAGAAGAAGCATTCAAGTATGACGATATACTATCTGTGTTTTCACCATTCAAAGTGCTGTTTAGTAGTTGAAACTTAAACTATTTAATATCTCATTTAATAAAGTGACCAAAATACATCAATGTGCCTTGTGCTACATTCGCAATACAGCGTGAACTCCGCAGGCATACCGGCCGAGAATGTGTCTTTTGAGAACTGCGCTGCCTGTGAGTTTAAGCTCTCTTATTTTTTTCGACAGCGAGGTACCCGTTACCGAATGTAGCCATTAATTTCATTTAGGGAAAATAGTTGTGGTCCAGGTTTTCAAATCATATGAATTGATAGTAGCTTCTGCAGCCTATCTGTCCCTTAAAAACGGTGAGTGACTGCCCAGCAGTGATAAATTGTTAAGAGTGAGGTGAAGTTCTACTTGGTCAAATTAGAATAACCTACTTGCATATTTTAACCTCGTAATTGTACTTCTCTCTTCCTTAGCTATTAAATCCCACCTGCTGGGCAAAAAATCCCTTTCCTACGCAAAAAAAATCGCGTGACAGTTGTGTTTTAAATCTGCCCCTATGCTTGTTCCCTGTACTTGAAGCTTTTTTGTGGCTCCTGGCCAGCGCTGCAGCCACCTTACTGCCCCGGGCGGGTCTGCTCGGGGAGGTGCAGCTGGTCTTGCCGGTAGGTGAGAGGAAGGGCAGATGCCATGGAAATCGTGTCTGGTGTGAAAATAATCAAACTGTGCTCTAAGGGGCAGTGTGGGCAACATGGTTTTAAAGCGTCCTTGTAACTTTTAACTTGATGAAGAACTTCGATAGAGGGCAGCGGGAGGCTTGTGCGTGTGGCGGAGGCTGGATGTTGGCCGTCCGTGTCGGGCTGGGGAGCGTCCTGGGACGAGTCCCCCATCCAAAACAGGCCTGCAAGGTGCTCCAACGCTGAACAGCGACTTTTTGATGTGTCAGGTGCTAAATGCTTACCCTGTGGGTTTTTTGTCTTTACCTGAAAAGAACCACTCTGGGCAGGGTAAATAAAAATCAATTCATCAGTTCAAGCAAAAAGAGTTTTGGAGTTGGATAAATCTTCAACATTTACGGAAAGACAAATGTCCTAAACATTCCCAGCTGGAGGTGTTTAGAAAAATGCTGGTGTTGCAGCATGAGCCACGCAAGCACATGAACTTCCCAGACCTGCTCAGGTGTTGAAATAACCCCATGTGCACCCTCTGTGCCGTAGAACATACCCTGGAGATGTGTCCTAGCGTCGAGCAGCGGCAGGACGCCGCCCGAGCGTGTCTTCGGGAGAGCTGTGCTGCTGTGAAAGGTTGGGAGCGAAGCTGTGACCTCAGGGATATTTGGGTCTCGGAGGCATGCGCAAACCTTCCTCCGGCGATGGCAGGCCGGGCGCTCTGCAGCGAAGGGTCTGGAGAAGCTCCGCGTCTGCTGCGCGCAGGCGGGACGATCACCCTCGCGGAGCCCACCCCCCACGCCGAAAGCCGTTGTTCATCTGGTCGCAGCTCCCGCAGCTGCTCTGCCCGGCGAGGAGGCGGCTTGGGGGGAGGCGGTGACCGAAGGAGGGTGTTGGGAAAGGGCTGAGGCCTGAAATGGGGACGCTGCCCCGGAGAAGGGCAGGGGGGCTGCGGGGGGAGGGTGGCCACAGGGGGAGGTGGGGTGTCCCCCCCACCCGGGTCTGTGCTCAGCCGCTTTCGAGGTCTGATCTCAGACGCCACCTTGGCTTTGTGTTTAACGACTGGTGCGTACGAAAACTATTTGAGACGCTGAATATGAAACGGTAATCGATACCTGGGGCATTCATCAAAGCTTAATCCAGCGACAACGGCTACATCTATAATTCAATTGCACAAAGCGTGTTTCTCGCTTCTGTGGATTCTTGCTGGTGCCCATCA